CCTCGCGTCCCGCCCCTGGGGGTCAGGCGAGGGCTCGCCCCCGCCCGCCCCCGTCCCCGCCCCTGGGCCCCGCGCGCTTCAGGCCTCCAGCCTGGGCGCCTTGTGCGGCCTGGGAGGCCCAGCGCTGGGGAGAGGCCATCCAGGCTCGCAGCTCCCTCCGTGCACCCCTTCTGGGTTGGGGCCACCTCACTCCTCTGACTTCCCATTCGTGATAATTCCAGAATTTTAGGAAGCCCGGCGGGGGGGGGGTGCTCCGGGGGGGCCTCCTCTGCCTAGGGCTGCTCTGCGACTTGGGGGCGGTGGGCCTCTTTCTCCATTGGAAACAAATGTTATAATATGAATGTTACAACTGCTGTTGGCACAAAGACGAATATGTTGGTATTATACATGAACACATTTCCTTTGACCTAAAAGTTACTTTTTAAAAATTTCTCTTCATTAGAGAATAAATTAGAACAACATTTTCCTGGGCTCTACAAGCACTGTGGGCAGCAGGCCTTGTGGTCACTGTCCTCACAGGTCAGCCCACCTCCTCTGCCCAGCTCTGGGCTCCCTCTAAGACAGACCGTTTTGCCCATTTTCAGAGTCCTTATTGAGAGAGGGGGATGGGACATGTATCCAGCTTCCTTCGCTGGTGCACAAAAGGATGCCAGCAGTCCCCCAGGGGACCTTGGGAGGCCTTTCAGCTCTGGAGTTACAATTAGAGCCACTGGTTGGTGGACACCCTGGAGAAGACCTGGAACGCTCTGTGAGCCCCACCTGGCTGAGCGGGCTGTGGGATTGCTACCGGGGTTTTGACTGGAGACCATTCACCCAACGCCAGGGCTAGGATGAGTACTCGTAGGCAAGGTAATGTGTCCAGGAGCACTGCTCCATCCCCAAGGACTTTGGGGGACTCCTACAAGGGGCTGAGTGCTGCCACCTCCCGCAGGGCACGATTCCTTTATCTCCCAGCTCCTTTTTCTAGCCATCCATTCTGGATTCCAGACCCAGGGCCCTTTTCCGGCTTGCCCTCCCCAGCTGGAGCAGCCAAATGCCACAAGCTGTGCGAGGACTCTCCCCCAGGATGCTTCCCTGGGGGCCGGTAAGTCATGGGGCCACAAGACAGGTGCTCCGTGTCAGGTAACCCAGACCTTCCCCTCTCAGGTCCCTGGAAACCTGAGAGCCCAGCTGACTGGCATCACAGTGCTCAGTCCTGCAGTGTGGCCCATGTGACACGGCTCTGGTGGGAGGAGACCTCCGGAGGTTCCAGGGCCTTCCAGGCCCCTACTGCCCACGTGCTCTAAACCTATTCAGAGCTGTCCCCACCCAGCCACCATGGGCTTGGCTTCCTTCCCTCCTATCCAACCTCCAACTTGGGGTAATGCAAGATTAAAATCCCATTCCCCACGGCAGACTGGGCCCTGGCACTTTCAGGAGAGCATTCCTGGCTCCAATCTTTCTGTATCAGTGTCCATAAACCGTTGGTCTCCGGCTGGCAGCTCAAGTCCTACCCAGACCCTGGCTGGGAGCAGCCAGGCAACCTCCAGTCAGCGTCCACCATCCAGAAGGAAAGCAAAGAGGGCAGCTAGGAAGGACCAGAACCTGACTCCCCAGCTCAGGAGAAGGGATCTGGAAGAGGGGTAAAGGCCAGCCAAAGCCTCCATGTTTGGGGACTGAAGGCCAGTATCTGTCCCATGGGACCCGGGCACTGTGGTCACCCTGTCCTTTCTCTCTCCTTTCTCCTCCTCTTTCCCTCTCGGGCTTCTTGGCTCTCTCGCAGAGCCCCATCTACAAGGACGACTGAAACTTTATAGGCCATGATTCATCGGGTGGCGTGCCCCTCGGAGCCATGGCGCGTCTTACATTAATCAGTGTCAGACCACTAAAACCGAGAGATGAATATGAATTCTCCATATTGCAGGCGAGATAAATGTGCTGGTGAATATAATTGATCGGAGGAGGGAGGGACGGATGGTGGGAACAGAGAGATTTCAGACTCCAGCATCCAGCAGGTCATTGGCGGGTGGGACCTGTGCCCACCCCGCAAGTCTTCAAGCTAGCAGCATGCCTGCAGGAGGGGGGAATCTGGAAGGTATGAGCTTCTGACCATCTCCTTGTAACCGGCCTGCCCTGGACCAGGAAGAGAAGTGTTTCCACACAGGATTTGCTACCCTTTCCAACCAGAAGACTCTACTGGTTCTGTCCAACCAGTAGACAGAAATCCTCTGCCCCAGACTCAGGCTATCCTTTCCAGCTCCCCAGTAGAGCAGGGGGCACCAAGTCACAAATACTCATCTCATGTCCATCCCTCGTTCCTACCCCTTTTCAGCTTCAATCTCCTCCTTGCCAGTCACAGAACTACCACGACCATATGAAACTGTCCCTAGGCATGCATCGAGTATGAGAGCACCTTTGCACAGGCAGAAAGTTCCAGAAGAACTTCTGCTTTGGCTGTAGAAGAAAAAGAGTTTTCTATGTTTACTCCCAGATATTTCAGGAGCTGAAATAGGGTGCACAGCAGGTGCTCCCCCTGGGGAGCCCTGCCCCCTCGCACGCACACTCAGGTGGCTGTGATGGGGAGGAAGGGTGGTTACAAACCATGCACGAAGAACAAAAGTGATTTTTCAAAGCTTGATTAAAAATTCATCTCTACCTCTTCACTCGAGAAAAACAATTCTGAAGATGGCGATCTGATTTCTTTGCGTGGGAAACTTCAGTCAGCGGGGGGGCACACACAGACCCTTCAGGACTTCCAGATCACTGGGCTCCCAAGTGTGGGACTCAGCTGGTAAGCACATGCCCATCCAGCCTCCCGGGCAGCAGTGTTTGGGGTCCCAAATGTATTGGACAGGAAGAAAGGGAAGAGCAGAGATACGGGGTGTGCAAACAGCCGGTGCCTGCATGGGCTGGCCTATTTGATTCCGGGACGTGGAAGCCTGGAGGCTGCCAGTGCAGGGCACTCTGCCACCCACCTGAATCCCACCTGACGCTTCCAGCAGTTACCCAGGAAGGTTCGACCAGCGCAGACGCCGGAGCACCAAGTCTGTGCTCTAGGAATGCTGTCCCTCACCACAGGAACAAGACACTCCTAGTCAAAACACATGCATGCCAAGTACACAGGATCTATCTGTCCCCAGTGGCCAGGGGGACGTTCGAGGATCCAGGCCGGGACCTCTGGAGTGGGGAGCTGAAGGTGCAGTGGCCCCTGAAGCCCCAGTGTCAAGGGTAGAGCAGGTAGTCCTCTCCAAATCCCCAACTTGACCTGCCAATGAAAGCACCCTACCTAGGACCTGGCACCCACTCCCTCCCCCCACAAATGCCAGCAGGCCAACCAGCAGGCCCGCCACCGCACCCCCAAATTACAAACAACTGGTGGCATCCGAGATCACAGAGAAAGCCCGACCACCTCAAATCGAGGCTCCCGCCCACGACGACTCCCAGGCCCAGCACCCCAGATCTTGCGCCACGGCCTGGCCCGAGGAGCCACATCCACGCCACGGTCAGGACCCCATTCCGCTTCCAGCCCATAGAGGGCGCGCCGAGCACGTCCATCGGATTGGAAGCGTCTCCACCTCGGCCGCAGCCCCAGCGTGCCCGCGGGTGCCCGCCCTGCACCCGGCTCCGCGGCCCGGCTCCTCCCGCGCCCCCACGCGCCCCTCCCGCTTGCCCCGCACCCCCTCGTGCCGCCTGTGCTCGCTCTCCCGCGGCCTTCGCGCCTCCTCTCGCTAAGCCTCCTCCAGCCTCAGGGCCCGGAGGGCCCCCCCCCCCAAAGGGAGGAGGACTACGTGCGAGGGGGCAAGGGGTGATGGAGGACGACAGGCATCCGCGAAAGAGCAGTCAGTCCCCCATGGGGTGGCATCTCCACGGCCTCCGCGCGAGCCGCCTGCTCCCCGCCACAGAGGAGCCGGGGCAAGGACAGCGGCCAGACTGTCCCCTTCCTCGAGGCGCCCCTCGCCGCCACCAGCAGCCCCAGACAGCTTGGACCGGAGAGCCGACCTGGGTGGGGGTCGGGGAGGTCCTACCCCGTATCAGGGACTAGTTTTCTTCCCCCCTGCAGCTCACATCCTCACTTAGGGTTTTGTGAATTTTGTATTCTCAGTGTTCACGAATGGGCGGCATAAAGTCATCTGTGCCCTGTTTGAAATGCAGGCTGTCCTGGCGCAGCCGCGGGCCGCTCTGAGTGCCCAGAGGCCCAAACCCTGACCTTGACAGTTCCCCATGGTCCTGGGCCATTTCCCACCCAAGCGCATCCCAGGCCAGCTCCAAGCCCTGCATTGTCCTACCTTCTTCCCAGCCACCTCTCAGACCCTGCCACCAGAGGGTTATTTTTCCTGTGCTCTCTGGGTGTGCCCAGTCCAGGGCTCATGAGTTTAAAGGGGGGCCCCTGGGAAACCAGAGCCCCCACTCCTCTTTCTCATCCCGCAAGGCTAGGGCAGTTCCCTGGCTCACACGCCCAGAGAACTCCCGAGCTGTGTCTCAGCCGCCCATCAGGTCCGTTTAAAAGAGCCTTCCAATGTCTCTCCACGTTTGATTTCACCACGTAACTAAAAAATGCATTCAGAGACAAATTTTCATACTCCATTTTGTCCTCACTCCACCCACAAAACAACCCGACAGCAAGATGCACTGTTGAGACAACTAGTTATAAATTGATTTCAAATCCAAAGTTCTCCTTTGGGGACATAACTGGAAATTCTTTTCATTTTTCCCCCATTGTTGCCCACTTCAAGAAATTGGTGTATAAACTGCTGAAACGCAAACTCATTTACCTCCGGAGACAGGCGTGCCCCCAGATAAATGTCTAAGGGTTGGAAAGAAACTGCCTACAAGAAAATACCCTACTGATCCTAACAAATTCACCAACCACCGAAAGACTTGAGAAACACCGGAGTCTTCCGGGAGAAACTCCCCAAGGAGCCTCTGTTCCCAAACCCAGGGGCATCTGGGCCATGCCAGCACTGCAGGATTCCGGACACCCCTCATACACCCAGCCACACACAGCAGCGGGAGCAGTGGGCATCATTTCATTTAGTTTATTAGACAAAAATATATGATTTAGACAAGTTCGCTGACGCGCTATTTACAATCTGAAATCACTCTATATACAGAAAGAAGGGGGAAAAAAAAAAAAGACACAAGCACGTGGGGCATTTACCGAGCGGATAGTCCACCAGAGCCTGGTGACAGCCACCAGAGCTGGGGGCAGAGGCCAGGCTGCCCGGACGAGCCCCTTTCTGCAGAAAGCGATGGATGGGAGTCGTTGACGTCGTGGCCATATTTGTCTTTACACCAGTCTGAAATATTTGTCCTAATTCCTCCCTCATCCCCTCCCTCCCCAACTCCTCCCCCCTCCCCCCGCAAAAGTAAAAGAAGACCCTGAATCAGGCGGACGGGAGGGCTGCTAGGATCCGCGGCGTTCCCTCCTGCGGGGCCAGCGAGCTGCGGGGGAAACACAGCGAGACAAGAAGCACGAGAAGTCAGTGATGGACGCCGCAGCCCGGCGGCACCGGTTCTGCCGGCCGAGCGCCTGGGGGCGTGGCCGCCTGCCGCGCGCGGCTCCCGGGTCGGGAGAAACCGGGCGCAGCCAGAGGGCCCCGCGCCCAGCGCTGGCGGACAGCGCCCCTTCCGCAACGACTGTGGGACGCTGCCGCCCGGCCCTGCTCAGCCCCCCAGCCCCCGTACCCTCCTCCCCGCATCCCCGCTCCGCGCCGGCCCCGACCACACGGAGGGCACGAGCAAACCGCACTCACTTGTCGCGCACGGGCTGGAAGGGAGATTTTAACTGCTGTGCCGGCGAGTCCGGCCTGGGGACGAGGTCTCTCTCTGCGAGGGAGAGGGAGAAGCAGAGCGTTAAGAGACGGGTGTGTGAGTGTTAGGGGCGGAGGAGTTGCTGCCGAAGTGCGCGAGCCTCTTCCCCACCCACTCCCTCCCTCTCACAACGAGGACAGGGTCTTAGAGAACCCTTCACCCCTCACTAGGCAGGCCTGCAGGTAGAACTCGGCTCTCCCCAGAGGGCCCAGGGCCTCGGCCTCAGTGCCCTAATCCAGGCAGAGATCACTGCTCATCCCCGGGCTGGGCTGCCACCGCCTCTCCCCTCCGGAGCCGGCGCGCCTCCCGCCCCCCACCCCGACCATGCTACTCCTGGGTTCTGGATTCCTGGCCCGGGGCGAGGCGGACACTCCCGGGGCGCCATACCTGGGAGCGCGGGGCTGCTGCGAGCAGAGGCCTTGTCACCGTGGAGCACCCCCGTAGCAACAGGGACTGGGGGCTGCGGCGGCGGCGGCGGCGGCGGCGGCGGCGCGGGCAGGTGCGGGCCGTGCGGCGCGGCGTGGGGCGCGCCAACGCCCAGGAAGGAGCGCATGTTGAGCAGGGAGCCCTGCGCGAGGAACGCGCCGTTGGTCCAGTTGGAGAACTTGCCGATGTGGCAGGTGTACAGTCCGTGGCTGGGCAGGAAGGCGGGGTGTTGCAGCGGCGCGCCCGCGGGGGCCCCGTGCGCGCCGGGATGGCCTGAGGGAGGCGGCGGCGAGGCCTTGGGCGCGCCGTCGGGGCTCGTGGCGGTCTCGGCCAAGGACCAGATCTTGGGCTTGCTGTGCGGGGCGCCCTGCAGGCCACCCGACCCGCCGCCGGGACTCAGCAGGCGCGTGCTGCCAGGCTCCGGGACCTCTTTGACCAGGCCCAGGGGCGAGTCCTGGGACTTGAGCGCGTCGGCAGCTGCTAGCGGCGAGCCCTGGTCTCGAGCAAGGGTCGTCGGTGCCGCCGGCGCGCGAGGGGCCTCGGCCTTGTCCTCATCATCCTCATTGCTCTGGTCGCCGTCATGCTCGTCGATTTTGTCGATGTCAATGCTCTCCAGGTCTATCTCCTCATCGTCCTCGGCCTTCTCGGGGTCGCCCTCTGTATCGCTTCCGAAAAGGGCACCGTCCTCCTGGTCCTTGCTGCGCGCACCCCACGTCACCTTATTCTCCTTCTTGAGGCGGCGGCGCGCGTTGGCGAACCAGGTGGACACCTGCGTGAGCGTCATCTTGGTGATGATGGCCAGCATGATCTTCTCGCCCTTGGTGGGGTATGGGTTCTTGCGGTGCTCGTTGAGCCAGGCCTTGAGCGTGCTGGTGCTCTCGCGCGTGGCGTTCTTGGGCCGCCCGGGATCCCCGTACTGGAACTGGCCGTAGGGGTAGTAGGCTGGCGCCGTGTGGGCTGCGAAGGTGGCAGGGTGCACCCCAGGGTTGTCTTTGAGTTCATACTGTGAGCCCTGCAACCACACAGCCCACCGAGGGAAGAGAGAGAGAGAGCAGGGGTTGTGGGGGGGAGGAGAAAGAGAGAGAGAGAGCGCGATGAGTCCCCAAAACTGGGAAATTGGGGAAGAGCGGCTCTTGTCTGCTGGAGAACATGAAGGCCCCCAGTGCACCACCCAGGGAGGAAGTGACGGGTCCGAACCATTAGCTGCCTCTAGAAACTGAACTTCACCCATCATGAAGAGGCTGTTTTTTGTTTTGGTTTGGTTTTGCTTTTATTTTTATCTTTATTTTATTTTATTTCATCACTCAAGAGAAGTTCCAGAATCCATGCATTTCCAGAAGACCACAGCGGGAGCCGTGGCCCCACAGAATTTCCCCAGGCATCCCTCAGTCCCCTCACCCCCACCACTCACAACAACTTCAACAGACCTAATTTCCAAGTTTATCTCACACTAACGAGAAGGGAAAACCTTTTAACTGCGCTGATAAAACAGTTTCTCCAAACGTACAGAACCTAAAGCCTAAAGCCCCTCCCTTCGACCCTGAGGGGGTCAAGCAAAATAAACCATCTCGGGTTTTCTTTGGGTCCAAATCCACCAGCAATTTAAAATGAAAGCACACTCTTTTTAGCTCCCAAATTAATCTGCATTTAATGGTTCCCCACACTTAAAGGTCAACCATGGTGACAGGTAATTTAAAATTTTAATCCTGGCCATCATCAACAACAAAAACACCATTTTTTTTTTTTTAATACAAAAGGAGGGCTTAACTGGTAAAATATTAACACGAGGGCCCAGGAGTCCCGGCTGTGAGAAAGGGAACCGCTCTCCTAGGCCTGTTCTCACTTACTTTATCTCTGAAGTTTGTGACGCGGCGAGAGGAAGCTCGAACTGTTCTCAGGCATTTAGAAGCCGTGATTTATTTGTGACCAATATTCTTTTTATCATCCGTAGTAAAACACAGTAAGTCAAATTATCCCATCAGGTTTTTTGGTAAATAACATTTTATCTTTCTAACAACCTCATTAGGCCTCATTATTACCATAAATTGCCCAGACAGACATTCACTCACAATTTTATCTTTTGACTTCCAAATCCCCAATCTTAACGGCTTGGAAACCCAGGCCTAGAATCAAGAGTTTGCGTTTAGGTTTACTTTCTGAGAATCAGAGGGAAAGCACTATCAGATACTCACACCTTTTGGGGGCTATTTCTATATTGTTTCCCCTTAGTTTAAAAAAAAGAAGAAGAAGAAGAAAAAGAAGAAGAAGGAAGAAAGAAAGAAAGATCTAGTATCTTCCTTCCCTGCCGCATACAATGGGTGCAGAGTCCCACCACACAGCTCCCTTTCTCTCCTACAAATACTCGGTTGGGGGGGAGGGTGTTCCCAAATAGCACACATCTGTATTCAAAATCTGTTAAAATTTATAATTCTCCAAATAAACATGGTCCAGTTTTTACGTTGGCAGAGGGGGTTTCCAGACTGAGAAGTTGTAAAGAGCAGAATATTTATTTGACTAATTAGTTTAGTGGTGGATGCCACTGAGAAAAGGTTGCCCTGGCCAGATTTCGTTTTTGCCCAATCTTTGCAAAATGTACTTTGCACTCTTCTAATTATTTTGGTTGTAACTGTAAGGACGACATTTCGGCCTCTTCTCTACCCGGAATTCTTTTTGAAAGGATACCTTGTAAATCTCTCATCGCTTCCCTGGCATCCCCAGCCGCCAGAACAAAATGGGAGCTGATCTTTTTCGATAGCAAGCGATCTCAAAGGCAGCTGGGGCCGCTTTCAGAGAAATAGCCTTTTCTTTCCAAAACTACAAGAAAAAGTTACAGAAAAACACACCAGCCGCTTTTCTCGCTTACAATTGGCGGGTATTTATTTCCTGCCTCTTCTGGGGAGAGTGGGGAGACAAGGGGGGGTGCCTGCAAACTGCGTTATCCCTCCCGCCCCAGCGCAAGAGGGGGCTGCCTCCCTGGCCCCCAGCTCCCCGCGCGCAGTTCAGCAGTATCCCGAAGTTGAAGCGCGACCTTGCAGTCAGACGAAGGAAAATGGATCCTTTGGGCCGACAGAATGGCGAATGCCCCGCGGAGAATTAAATTTGCAGCTCCCTCCCCCATCTGACACCCACTGGGACGGGAGACTAAGAGGACAGCATTTATTTTAAGCCCAGGGACTGTTTTCTTTAATCCTCCATTATGTAACGCGGAAAGAAAAGTGCTTTTCATTCGGTGCAAAAGAAATGAAAACTTCGGCAACTTACGAAAGTCAAAGCAAACACCGTTTCACACGCCAGAATTATTTCCAGTCCCCCCCGCATCTCAAATTAGCACACACTCCATAAGAGACCCCACCCCGCCCGTCTGGTCTCCCCATTGTTAGGTTTATTTTGATCAACTCTTCTAGGCTTTCCAGGGTTCCCTCTGCAAAGTCGGACACAACTGGAGGAGGTCCACCGAAAGGGGAGGAAGCGGGGTCTCCCCCGCCCGGCCCCAAAGCCAGAGAGGTCGCGCGAGCGGGGTCCGCCGGCCAGTCCCGGGCGTCCTGCGGAACCCGGCCGAGCTGCCGGAACCCCGCCCGCCCGCCCGCCCCGCCGCCACCGCCGAGCCGGGGGCGCGAGCGACTTTGGCCCCAACCTCCGGCTCGAGCCGCGCGCCCCGGGCCTGCTCCTTCGGCCTCCCCGACTCCCGCCTAGACCCCGCTCGCGGCCCAGGCCTCCTGCCTCCCCCGGGCCGAGCCGCAGGGGCGGTCGCCCGCCCGCCGCCCGGCGATCCCGCCGCCTCCCCCGCCGCCCCGGACCCGCGGGCCGGGCCTCCCGCG